GAAGACCTTACCGTTGACCATGGCGTCCTCCAAGGCTCCCCGAATTTCTGTATCTGTTTTTGGCTTCGCAGCACTCTCGCTGTTATCGTTCATGGCACATTCAGGATAACTGGGTGCGGCTGCAACCATTGCTATTCATAGAAATTTCTAACCCTTCTTGCCTATAGTTTACAATCATCCTTCTCGAATCACAGTCCTTGTTGTCTTTGATTTTCTACGATAAATATTGCCAGTTTCCAATGCTATTTGTATTAATTGCAATCCTTCTATAATTATACATGATCTCAAATATCTTATTTGCCCTCTTTTAATGTGTTCAGGCGTGAACAACACCAATATATGGACAAGATCTTAGCCATTAAATATCTAGAATTGAATGTGTATGATTTATCCTCATAGTTCTCCATATATTAGTGTCCTCATGTGAACTAGGGCCATATAGGGTAAAGATCAAGTGAGGATAGTATCCCATGTAAGTATTAATATCCGCATGTGAACTAGGGCCATATAGGGTAAAGATCAAGTGAGGATAGTATCTCACATGAGAAGTGTGGATTAATCATAGTCCTGGATTTTGCCTTAATGTGTGGTTGCGATTCTTTTTTTTTTTTTTTTTTTTTTTCCTTTTTGCATGATATGGGGTTTTAAGTAAATGGGTTTATTTTTCTTTCCAAGTTTTAATTTATTTTGGGGTTTTATGCAAATTTTTAGGATACTTAATTAAGTTAAGGTAGGACTCTTGTACTGTATATCTGAGAACTAGCTCACCTGCTCGACATTTTCCTTGTGGTTTACACTCACAGACTGCAATAAAATGGTTTGCGAAGCACAAACTATGATGTCTATAAATATACAATAACACACAGAGAGATCTGTAAATGACTACGCTTATAGGTTGCACACATGGGTGACAAAAAAATGCATAGATATTCAACAAAAGAATGCACACATGGGTGACAAAAAAAATGCATAGATACGCAACAAAAGAATGCACACATGGGCGACTGACGAATGCACATGAACATTTTGTGGTGCACAAACTATAATAATATGATTCCAACTGGAGCAAAAATTGTGTTGTCTACATGCACATTAACACACATATGTAAATTGCTACGTTGAAAGAAAATAGTGATCAAGAATCCTGCCAAAATTACTCTTTCTTTAATCATGCATCAAATCCAAAAATAATAATAATATGATTTCAATTAAAGAAAAAATTACTAAACATTCCATACCTAAATATATTACAATTAATTAAAAAAATTAAATAACCGATAACATCTGAACAACCCATCAAGACAACATCAAGGACCAAGATTATTCCATAATCCTCATGGGAGAAACTGTGGATTAATCCTAGCCCTGAATTTTGCCTTAATGTGTGATTGTGATTCTTTTTTTTTTTTTTTTTTTTTTTTTTTTTTTTTTTTTTTTTCTTTTCCTTTTTGCATGGTATGGGGTTTTTTTTTTTAAGTAAATGGGTTTATTTTTCTTTCCAAGTTTTAATTTATTTTTGGGTTTTATGCAAATTTTTAGGATAATTAATTAAGTTAACGCCGGATTCTTGTACTGTATATCCGAGAATCAGTTCAACTGCTTGACATTTTCGTTGTGGTTTACACTCGCAGACTGCAATAAAATAGTTTGCGAAGCACAAACTATGATGTCTACAAATATACAATAACACACACAGAGATATGTAAATGACTACGCTGATAGGTTGCACACATGAGTGACAAAAAAATGCATAGATATTCAACAAAAGAATACACACATGGGTGTCAAAAAATGCACAGATACGCAACAAATGAATGCACACATGGGAGACAAACGCATGCACATGAACGTTTTATGGATCACAAACTGTAATAATATGATTCCAACTGGAGCACAAATTGTGTTGTCTACAATGCACATTAACACACATATGTCAATGGCTATGTTGAAAGAATATAGTGATCAAGAATCCAGCAAAAATTACTCCTTCTATTTTTTTTGAATGTTACTGGCCTTATTACATTGTAGTATCTGTTCATATACAAATTACTCCTTCTATAATTATGCATAAAATCCAAAAATAATAACAATATGATTCCAATTAAAGACACAATTACTAAACATTCCATACCTAAATATATTACGATTAAAAAAATTAAATATAAATTAAATATAAATATAAAGTTTGGATATATATATATATATATATATATATATATATATATATATATGTGTGTGTGTGTGTGTGTGTGTGTGTGTGTGTGTGTGTGTGTGCGCGCGCGCGCGTGTGTGTGTGTGCGCGTGCGCGTGCGTGTGCGTGTGCGTGTGTGTGTGCGTGTGTGCGTGTGTGTGTGTGTGTGCGCACGCACGCTCGCGTGCGTGCGTGATCCCGATGAGATGCTAACTGTCCGCCCAGGAGAGAACTGAGAACCATCCAGTGCGCACCACGTGTCTAGATCTAGGTGCACCTATATTTATAATTAGGTGCACTTGCAGGTGAAAGTAGGTGCACAAGATCAATGAATGTTAACAAGGCAAAATTACTTGCACTTGTAAATGATTTTACCAGTACTTTTTATTTGCAAAGGTGCACCAACTACATGCACATATAACACATTTACATGCACCAAAAGGATACGTGGCACGCGATGGATGGTTCTCAGTTCTCTCTTGGGCGGTTGTTCTCACATAATCGCGCCACTATATATATATATATATATATATGTATATATATATATATATATATATATATATATATATATATATAATGATTTCCATAATCTTAAATGATTGGTGAATTTTATTTTCAAATGTCAACACAATTAAACTAAGAATATGGTTTGCTACCATCAAGATGCTAATTCATTTAGGGATGGCAATGTGCCCTGTCTCCGTCCGGGACGTGGACAGGGACGTGGAAAAATTTCGGGGATCGGGGACGGGGACAGAGAGTTTTTGAAATTCCCCGGCGGCGATGGGGATGCTCCTCCCCACCTCGCCCCGTCTCCGATTAATTATTATAATTAAAAATAATAATAACAAATAAATAGATTAGTATATATATATATATATATATATATGTTAATTTTTTTAAATTAAAAGTTTAGTATTTAAATTTAAAATTATAATAATTTAAAATTTTGACTAAGAATTGAACGGGTACGGGGATAATTCCCCGCGGAAGCGGGGATGGGGACTATTTTCAATTTCCCGTCGGGGATCGGGACGGGGACGGGCTCGGGTCCGCCCCGCCCCGTTTCCATCCCTAGAATCATTTATGTCAGAGAAGATAATATTTTATATGCATGCAAAAAATGTTGATTGGGAAAATGCTAATCCCAAATTCAGAAAAGCTGTTTTGGCGGGGAATCGAACAAGCAACCCAGGGACGGCTATGCTATACAGCCACTTGTATAAATGTTATTTATTTATTCATAGCTTAACCCTATAAATACCACCATCACCATTGTAGAATTTATCTTAAAAAAATCAATATAAATTCTTCTCTCCTTCAATATGTTGTTCTTATCCTCCTCCTTCTTCTTATTATTATTTACAACACATTATTGGCACAATATTTAACCAACGATGTTTCCGTCAACACCATACAAGAAGATATCTTTGGAAGCAGCGGAAACCATTCTTCTCTCATCTTCTGCAGTTTTGCATCTTCTTCTCTACAAGAAGAAATATTTTGTGTCAGTTCTTCTTCTTGGTTGTTGGTGACAACTGATAAGCCTCAAAATATACTAGTTTCTGTTGGGCGTCAGCCGGGTTGGCCGAGTTCAACCCCTGCTCGATTCGAGACGTGGCGATGTGGCTTACCGTGGAGAGATGTGGTTAAATGGTTAATGGCCACCTACCTATCACCAATTGGTTTTAAGTAGGATATGGCAACCAGGTACCATAGAACTCTGTGGTTAAGTGTGCTTGACTTCCGGCAATCGCGGGATGGGTGACCCCCTGGGAAGTGAGCATAGTGCAGTGCTGAGATCCAATAATTGGTATAAGAGCGGGTTATCTATTTGGGTCAATTTGTTTTTAACTGATACCAACAATTGGTATCAGAGCCGAGGTCACGAGTGGATCGATGGCTATTTTAACTGATACCAACAATTGGTATCAGAGCCGAGGTCACGAGTTCGGATCGATGGCGAGGCGAAAGCCGAGTCCAGTCCCAGGTGGGATCTGGGCGTAGGTCGGGCCAAGTCCAATTCCAAAAGGGGATGGTGGGCGCGTAGGGTAAGGACCGAGTTAAGCATGCTGCGCAACTGGGTTTGGTGATCAAAGGTTGCGTTTTTAACTGATACCAACAATTGGTATCAGAGCCGAGGTCACGAGTTCGGATCGATGGCGAGGCGAAAGCCGAGTCCAGTCCCAGGTGGGATGTAGGCGTATGTCGGGCCAAGTCCAATTCCAAAAGGGGATGGTGGGCGCGTAGGCTAAGGACCGAGTCAAGCATGCTGCGCAACTGGGTTGGGTGATCAAAGGTTGCGGCAGGTGCTGGGAGGAGGATTGTTAGGCGTCGGCCGGGTTGGCCGAGTTCAGTGTCTGCTCGATTCGAGACGTGGCGATGTGGCTTACCATGGAGAGATGTGGTTAAATGGTTAATGTTCACCTACTTATCACCAATTGGTTTTAAGTAGGATATGGCAACCAGGTACCATAGAACTATGTGGTTAAGCGTACTTGACTTCCGGCAATCCCAGGATGGGTAAACCCCTGGGAAGTGAGCATAGTGCAGTGCAACAATTTCTAGGAGCTTTTTTATAGGAGTTATGTACGTATTTTCATATAAAAATCTTTCGCTTTAGAGTAAAATATCTTAAAACTACAGTTTAGCACGGAAATACCTTCCCGATTGTATTTTATACATCTTTAGGTATTTTTGGACAAAAAACGTGATAAAAATGACAAAACGAGCGAAGCCGAGAAAAGCGCGCGAACGAGGACCGGACACATCGAGACTACGCACGAGAGAAGGACGGAATGGGAATTATTTTCCATTCCCGCCCCTCTTCACGGCGTGAGAGGCCGTGTGAACGGGATTTAGAGCGTGACGCCGTGCGTAAATAGGGTGCCGAATGGAGGCTTGGTATTTAGGGGGCGAAAATCAGATTTGCAAGTAGGATTTTTGGAGAAGTTACACAATTTTGTTTAGATCATCTTTGTGAGGAGAGACAATTTTAGATTAGGGTTCTTCATTTTCTTAGAGAGAGAATCTAGATCTAGCCTAGATCTACTTTTCCTTCACTAGATCCTATCCAGTTTTGCTTGAATTGTACAAGGATTTGGAGATTTGGAGGGGTTTGTAATAGGAACCAGTACACATGGAATCCAGAAAGGGTAAATAGTGGGCTCATCACAAGGCCCATAACGACGACCTTAAAACATCATTGGTGGAAGAAACAACAAAGACCAATAATAAGTCCATTCGATAGAGGAAAATATTATAGTGGCCAATTTCAAGTGATATCATGGATCGAAGACAATGCTTACAAGATTCGAGGTCGAATCATTTTCAAGAAGGGGAGGATGATGCGGCCCAACATATGAAGATCCATTAAGAATACTAATTGGGCCAATCACAAGGCCCAAGTCCAAACAATTAAGGCAACTCTTCATTGGTGATGTTCAAAGATGGTGGAAATCCAAGTCAAGCCCATTTGCAAAATATGAAGAATAACTCAAGGCTTTTTTATAATTGTTTGAGTGCTGATTTTGGTGATTAAATTAGGCCCAAATCAGCCCTATTATTTTTGGTCATCATTAATTTAAATTGTTTGGCATAAAAGAGAAAACACTAGTTGTATTTAGAAAGGATTCCTTAAATCCTATTCTAAATAAAACTCTATTTACTTGTTTTCTAGATTAGGTTTAGGACTCTTTTTCCCATTGTATTTAGATTACAATGCTGCCCTATACCTATAAATAAGGCACATCCATATCAGTTTTAGACAGGCTTTAATTCAATAAAATTCTTAAGTTTTTCTTTACACTTGTGTAAGAAACCTTATGGCTAATTGTGGTCTCAATTAGTGGCTAGTCGTGGACTCGACTAGCAAATTGATTCGTGGACTCGAATCAATCTTACTTTCTTCAACCTTAGATTTAGGTTCGTGGACTCGTTCTTGAATCGAAGGAAACTAGATCCGACTCTAGTTGATTGAAGATTGCAACATCGAGGTACTTGAAGCTACATGTGATTCTTCCAAGTCTTTGAGGATTCGAGACAAAGGGTTTCTCGTGAGGTTTAAGGTATTTTGATCCATCTCTATCTTTACATTGAGAGCAATTCTTGGGACAATACTCATCTTATTTGAATCTTGGACTAGATTCATATCAATTTGGTATTCAGAGCCTAGGTTTGTCTCATTATCATTGGAAATTTGGTTTCTTTGGTTCCCTAGGTTTATCTCGTTCTTATCTTACATACTACTTTTTTTCGTGTCTTATTCATTTAAAAAACCCAAAAAAAAAAATTTTCTTTTGCATTCTTGATTGTGTTCTTGAATCTTGATACATGTTCTCCAGTTTCTTGAAAAACAATCCCAAAAGTGTTTTCCCTTTTCCCGTCCAATATCAACGAGACCTCACACCTCCTAAGCACCATATTATCACACATTCTGTCAGGAAAACAACCCCATATCACCCTTAGCTATATCCAAAGCGCATTTACGCGCAATCACGTCGCAATCACACCCTGTCCAGATTTCCGCGTTCTGTGACCAGTTTCAAAGAATGACCTATATCTCGAGATCCACCAGTTATTTTTATCTGAAATTTTGATATGTTTTAGATCTCTTCTTGGGCGTTCTATTTATATATTATACACCTGCTAATTCCTTACGGTCATTGAGATATTGATCTTCGAAGTAAGGGCAGCGTTTCTTTTTTTCTGGGTGATTCTTGAAATTCTTGATTCTGTTTTGAAGTGCTTGTGTGGAACCACTTGGTCTGAAATTTTTGGTGATATTTACAGTAATTATTTGGAGGTTACTTATCAAAAAAAAAAATCAAGAAAGTTGAAAAAAAAAGCAAAAAAAAAAAGAGAAAGCTATAAAGAAGAAGAATAAGGTTGGGGAAAGAATTTGGCTGGTAGGAGAATTTTGGAGGGACAAGGAAGGGGAAAAGTATAAGTTTTGAAGGAGTTCTTGATAGATTCCTAATTGGTTGTGGTACACGTGAACCTCTTTTATATTCTATTTGTCTCTATCTTTTGATATTGGTCTTGCATATCTTTCTGTCATACTTCCTTCTTTGGTTTCCTTTTTTTCTTTCAAATCTTGCTTAGTTTCTTTGCTTGTATTGTCCTTTTTCTTTGCTTCTTGCTCTCAATTTTATTACCTACCTCGCGATACACCTTACTCTCAAAGGCTTGTGAAGTTTTCCAAGGTACGTTTTCTTGAACTTTGAGGTTGAATCCATACCAACTTGAGTTCCGGACTAGAATTTTCCTTTTTGGAAAAAGGCTTGTGAGAGTATCTGCCACCTTGAGCGATACACGAGTGGAGTGTGTATTTGTAAGAGTGTGTAGTGCACCCCCAGAGCCATATAATCCACGTCTTACCTGCGAGCTGAGAATAGTGAGGGAGCGAGCCAACTTTTTGGCTTCACTAACGTGATTACTCACACATCTTCTTGTTTTTTTTTTTTAGATACTTTGTTTCCTATACAGATGGCTGATCAAGTTCCAAACTTTCCCCAGACATTAGAACAAAAGATAGACGGGTTACTCAAATGAATGAATAATTTGGAGCAACGCTCACAGCAAGTGCAACCACCACACAATGATGAGCGACACCTGCCACCAGTAGGAAGAGTGGATCCTATATGTCAAAGGATCCAGCAGCGTAATGCGGAGTTGGGAAACATTAAACATGAAATTCCTAACTCCACCGGTGAGAAAGGACCTACCGAATACATAGAATGGGAGAATGCTGTTGAAACTCCTTTTTATTTAAAGCAATATTCTGATCTTACAAAAATTAGGATAGTTGCTACATCTTTTAAGGGGTATGCATTATCTTGGTGGCGAAAAAGAAATATAGAAAGAGTTGCTAATTTTATTCCCTATGAATCTTGGGTTCAAGTGAGGGAAGATATGCGCCTAACTTTTCGTCCTAAATCTTTTTTCTATGATCTTGAAAGAAAATTGCAGGGAACGGTGCAAGGAAAAAAGTCAGTTGATGAGTACTACCAAACTACAAATATTTTGCTTAAACAGGGAGACATACATGAAGAAGAGACAAAAACTGTTGCTCGTTTCATACATGGATTGAACTTAGAAATTCGATGTGGAATGAGTATTCAGAGATATGACACCCTTTATGATGCCTTGTATGCTGCACGTGAATCTGAGGCAAAAATCAAAGAGATGAAATTGTACAAGTCCAACAATGGTGCATCAAGATGGAACAACACAAGTTCCACCCCTAAAAGGCGTGATGAACATCCCCCTCCAAGAGATGATTCACAAGAAAAAGGTAAGGAAAAGGTAAGTGAGGCAGTGAGGCCTCAACATGATAGAGAATTGATTTGTTATAGATGTAATGGGAGAGGCCACATAGCTCGTGATTGCCCTAACAAAAGGGTAGTTAAGATAACAAAACAATCTGAAAATTTTGCTTCTTGTCTTGAATATAAGTCTAAGGATGAGGTATGTGACCATTTTGAAACTCTCAATGAACATGTTGAGGGAGAACCATTCATACCTTTAGATTCTGATTCTAAATATGTTGCTAGTGAGTCTAGTCATACTGTTGTTGTTAAGGAGGTTTTGAATGTTCACCCTTTAAAAGAAGATGAGTCTCAAAGAGAAAATATATTTTGTACTAAAGGGTCAATTAAAGAGAATGCTTGTGCTATGGTAATAGATTCTAGAAGTTGCACAAATGTGGCTAGTGCAGCTATGGTTAAATTTCCCCAGTTACCTTTGCTTAATCATCCAAATCCTTATTGTTTGCAATGGTTAACTGATGTAAGAGAAGCTAGAGTAACCAAACAGGCACTTATTCCTTTATCTATTAACAGTTACTCTGATGAAATCTTGTGTGATAATATCCTAATGCAGGATGCTCATATCTTGTTAGGTAGACCATGGCAATTTGACAGAAAAATAAGTTATGATGGAATGAGGAACACTTATGTGTTTCACATGAATGGAGTTACATATGTCTTGCCTCGTTTGTATCTTAAACAAGTAGAAGAAATTCAATTGACATTGATGCAAGCTCTCAAACCAGCATCAAAGAAAGAAATCAAAGAGAGAAAAGTGGAACCTCCATGTTTGGAATTGCAATCACCACTCCAATCTTCTATTTCGGTTTGTAGCCAAACAAAGGGTCCACAATCAGTGATACAGTGGAAAGGACCAGCCCAAGGTGTCAAAGTGCAACATCTCTTGGTAACTACAAAGGATATTAAGCAAGAGAAAAGAAGGGGAGTAACTATTTACTCATTTTTATTTCAAAAGCATGCATTAAAATTCTCTAGATTTGTTTGTCATGTTTCTATTAATGAGCTCCTTGCTAGATGTGTTAGAAATTTGTTTGCGCCCATACATCCGAGATTCCTTAATTTTGATTTTACTAAAACTTTATTTGATAGAGATAAGGAATCACTGGGAAGTTATAAGGCACATTTGAAAACTTCTTATGTGAAATACTACTCGCTCAAGGGGTTTTCGTTCAAAGTCAATGGGATTGGCACTTTTTGCTTGGATTTGAGCAATGATTTAATTATTGATTCACATAAGGGACAATTTGAATTTCCAAAGAGTGATGATGTTTTGCATGGATATTTTCATTGGCCAAAGAAGAAAAAAGATGTAGAATCTTATGTTCATAATTGTGCTACTTACCACCACAATGCATCTAAATCATTACTTGATATTTTCATGGATTTTGTGTTTGGTTTAGCCTTAAGCTCTAGGCGGAAAGATTTTGTGCTTATTGACAATTCAAACAAGATGCATAAATTTAATGTCTCATTTTGTTGAATTATTACCATCCAGAATGTTTAAATTCCCTGATGT